ATAAAAAAAATAGAATTCACAATTTGTAAACAAGGGGGTCAAGAAACTTAATGCCACTTTGTTAAATATAGTAGAATACCCTTTTTGCACTATTTCAAATGAAAAATTATTGAGATGGAATTTTACTGTCAACCGTACCCTACTCGAAAATAAGATTGATTAACAATTTGAAGGAATTATCGTTGCATCTCTTTATGTTTTCATCTATATGTGTTTCCACGCCATTTGAGATCCTGAAAAATGACCAAAAAAGAAAAAAATTACCAACACATGTAAGATTCGTAATTCGAAGAAAGTTAATGATAACCAAGAAAAGCTTATAAAAAAGATATTTTACATGTATTTTACGTTAATTTTATTTTACTTGTGTTTGACGCTCATTCTGGGGAAAAAAATTAATTCTTGAATGTTGATTGATGGAAAAATGTGTGGTTGAAAAATAATGAGAATTTTTGGGTTTATGTGTAATATTATTTTATTGATAGAATGCGTGGTTGAAATGAAGAAATAGAAAAAAAATGAAAATGAGAATGAGAAGAAAATGGGTGTCAAACGGAGGCTAAATATAAAGTTGACCTAATATTTTGGTAAGGTCTGCCCTTCGCATCCACATATGCTTAATTTATTCTGGTAAGTGTATCTAGACCTTCCGCAACCTCCCCAAATACCTGGCGATTCAAATCAAAATTTATTATTCCAAAAGGCTGGAAGAAATTGTTTGGACAAAAATGCATCATGTGATAAATATTCAATATTAAAAAGAATCCAAGATGTTTCGTCCCGAATTGGCTAATTACCCCTACATCTTCAGGCAAGCAACCAAAATTCTAAATGCCTAAAATCTAAAAAATATCAACATACTGCACAACTTTCTTTTTCTCTCTATTTCTTTCTTTATGGGAGGGGGGAGAAGGGTAACATACTATTCGAAGGTAAATAATTGACACTCAAAATGAAATGTTTTTTAGATCTCAAAAAGCTACAATCTATTATCTCTTACATGTATAGTAGACTTCAGCAGAACAAATCAAGTTCATCCTGCACATAAAGCCAGTAAATAGGCATTCTTGTATTCCTTTTTTACTTTATGGTGGAGGTGGATAGCAAAAAAAATTCTAGATTAGAAAACTCACAGTGTGCTTTCTGTCAAGATACTCGAGGTAATCACTCAGTGTGATATAGAACTGAAAGGAAACAGAGGCATCTATTAGACATATAAGCTACAGAGTTTTGTTCCTAACCATATATCAAGAGAAGGGAAGAAAGCGCTTGAAATTCTCTCAACTAGAATACAGAATATGGCAAGGATAATGTACCTGGGAAGCATTAAGATTCTCCCCAGCACTAGCCATGGAAACAGTACCAGTCTTTGAATGTTTTACATCCAAATGAATTTCATCCCCGAAAAAGTGAGCCTGATCACCATACAGGAATCTGAAAATTGCAGACTATGAGTTGTTCTTGCATTGGAGCTCAAGTTGAAAAGTTAAGAAAATACGTAAACGATGGAAAAACTAAAGACCTTTTGGAAAAGGTGCCACACAAGAAAGAAATCAATATAAAATCTATACACTCAGAAATTGGTCTTTAACAATAGCGATCAACTTGAGCAAATATTCTTACTTGTATACAGAATCACCTTCTAATCCTATTCCAGTAGGATCACCTGTCTGAGCAGTAAAATTATATTGTACCGTATGAAAAAGACAGCCATTGTAATATTTAATCCTGCATCAGAAACAAAACAAAGCAAAACATAGATGTGTTATCTGATGTAAAATGCCGGCTGCACATCAATTTTTGTATCGGTAAAGAAATGCAAGGGAAATTCAACAGAAGAAACAAAAGTTACAAGATCAAATTTGGGCTAAATATGCTCCCATTGGTAGATTTTGTTCAAACAAAACGGAATTCAGCATATATATTATTTGTTAATTCCTACTAATTTCACTAAGACAAACAAGTAAATAGTTAAAAACAATTGAAAATGGTCAACTGCGTAGAATTCAGATAGAATTTAACAAGCCTAATAATGATATTCAAGCCTAGTTCAAAGAAAGTATGCGCTGCAGTAGACTTCATTTTATATATAAACCTAGAAGGAACGAGTCATTATTACGAAAGCATCGCAGATTTTTAAGCCAAATAACTTGGAAAAAAAGAATTAGAAATTTTTAGGTGTATAAACATAAAATAAATAAAAATCATTAGGAATGAGATTAAAGTGGATAAACTCATAAATTGTGTGCGCTTACTTGCAAAGCTTGAGAAAGTTTTTGCAGGTCAAGGGGCAGCGATCTGTGTATAAATCCATCAATATGTTTCCCAAGCTCGTCACTATCATCGCCGACATTTTGGCTAGATTTTCAGAATTCCGACGTAAATTTTAGGAAGAGGAAGAATTTGAGGTTTTGTTTAGAAGTGTGTACGAGTTCATGTGACTGAACTGGTTGAAAAAAAATGTAAGGACTAACTTGACATTTTCTTGAAAGTTAGTGACCATTTGTCAAATGATTTGCTGTAATGATTTATAAGTGCCGTAAAATTAATACGTGAATATACGTGAATTTTAATCAATTTAGAACTAGGGATGACAAAAAAATTAGACAAGTCCAAAACCCGCGGTGCTTCGCCCCGAAAGGAGCCGAAATTACCCGCTTAATTGGATATTCGGGGTAGGTAACTTTGCCCTAGGGCGAGGAAGGGTAATAGGTACCCCGCCCCCGTTTATTTTTTTAATTCAATACTTTAAGTGAAAAATTTTGCGAAATTTCATTAGTTCTAATATAAAATGACAACTAAAATTATCTAAAAAATATGATAAACAATAAAAGCCTTATTTACCAAATATATTTAAATAATTTAACTTTTAAAAATAAGTAAATATTAAAAAAAAAATTATTGTCTCGATCTAATGAATGTGAACGATAAAATAAATTACTAAAAACTTAAAAAAGATAAGAAATAAAAAATAGACGGGTAGTAAAAGGGGCAAGATCTCCTCCCCGCCTCACCTTAAACTGGTAACGGCGGGGGAGGTTGTCGTGACCCCACCCCGTCCCATTGTCATACATATTTAGAACTAATACCACAAATACATAACAATGAATATTAAATTGTTTATTTAATTTTTAATGAAGTAAAATTAGATGTTAATTAGAATATACGAACGTGAATAATGAAATATATTATTGAATGCGAAATTCTAATTAATTTATAATTAGAATTAATAATACTGAAATGCATAAATGAAGATGAACATTAATTAGATGAATGTAAATGTTAATTATTTGAGAATTAATAATAGGAAATCCATACATTAATGAAACCACACGGGTGAAATGAATTTGTCATATGTGCCTGTACATTGTTGGTAACTAACATGTTAAATAAATTAATTACATATTGAAAAACGAAAAGTAAAAGTATTATTGAAATAATTTAACTATAGTAAGACCTAAAAAAATTATTCTGACTTGATATAATATTTAATATATTATAGATATTCCACCCCAGTTAGCTCACGACAATTTAATGCCTATCACGTCGATAAGACGCTAATATAGTTAACATAGTGGCCAAGTCCCATTTGATGGTCATTATAAAGAAAAATCGAAAAAAAATTATGACTTTTTTAGAGAATGTATAATCAAAAAATATGAAAAAAATTTGAATTTACGTGAAAAATATTTTATTGTGTAAATGTATAGTTAAAACGAGTACGAGAAATAAAGATAGTCTAACAGAAATTTTGAAACATACGATAACTTCAATGTATAATCAAAAAGTATGAAAAAAATTTGAATTTACGTGAAAAATATTTTATTGTTTGAATATGTGGTTGAAATGCGTACGAGAAATAAATATAGTCTAACAGAAATTTTGAAACATGCAGTGACTAAATTGGTTAGAAAAATAATTTGGAGACTAACTCTCAACTTCATTTGAACTTCAGTGATCATCTATAAATTGAACGAACTCAGAAGTGCTATAGCTCATAAGTTACCACAAGTAATTGTCGAGATTACTCCTTGAGAAAATATTCGACATATGCTAGAATCAAGTTATTTGTGATTCTTTTCTTATCTCCTTTCCTTGAATTCAGTGATTCATCACATCAAAACAAATTATTTTAACGTGACAACATGAAGATGAATTGGACTTCAATGATTTAAAGAAAATTGTTGAACACATGCATCGACATTCTTCGAAAATGAAAATTGCTCACGTTGAGCGATACATAACAGATTATAGAGACAAATGATGGAAACCTATTTATATATTAAGGGTTGTGTTTGAGCCACATTCTTTTACTTTTCTAGGTATTTTTTTTTTTTAAGTGGCTGGTTGAGTTGTGCGGATTTATTCGATTTTCATGAATTAACCCATAACTCAATCCGTCTACACAGCCAACCCATCCAACCCGTGTAAAAATAACAAAAAAATCGATCAAACCCGATCAGGTTAGTTCGGTTTGAGCGGGTTCGATCGGATTTTGCCCCCCTACTAAACAACATACAATATATGGATTTATAATACAATGTTGAATTAGATCAACAATTCTTTTATTCAATTAAAATTTTAGTATCATTATCTCTCTCAAAATCGGGCACATTATAATTGGAGTCCCACTCGTGTAAGACGTAAAAGTAAATCACCAAGTCACTCTATGGCAAATGAATCATCAAAACTCTGCACACCTTCATTTGGTGGAAATTAAAATCAGATTTTTAGTAAATTTTAATTAAAAATGATGAATTGTTTGACCTAAGATTTTTATTTACTTTTGATCAATACCAAAAAGAAAAAATTTCACAAAAGACCTCTTTAAGAAAAAGAAAAGAAAAAGAAAAAAAATTCCTATTCATTTAACTGCACAGATGTGTCTCTTCAGAAATCATAGAATTTATCCATTTTCTCTTTTAACTTCTTAGATTAGCGTCGACGCCGAACAGCTTGACCCCTTTATTTTCTGCCGCGGTTTCTAGGGTTTTAGATTTAGGTCCCTTATCCCTTTCCTGCAAGTTGCAGAGACATTAAAATTTTGGATTTACTGTTTTTTTTGGTCCTTCGCTAAGGAAAATATTTTGGCTCTTGCTAGTTTCGGAGGCAAGAATATTATCCGAGGTTTGTGTTTAAGTAGAGGAGATTGAGATGGATGGATTTGGAGGTGGGGGGCCTGGGGGCGTTACTCAAGAGTCCTCAAATCCTCAGGATCTTAAACCGTTTGGTGCAAATCCAACAGGTTAGCTACTGTTTTTAGTTGATACTTTTGCCCTCGAGTTTGATTTGTGTATAATTTTCTGCGTATAACCTGTTGACTTCAATTCTCGTATTTTCTTTAACTTTACCTTATACCGTGGATGTTGTATTGGGAAAAAATGGTTAGCAAATATTTCAGTCGATTCACGGATTTACGAATAAGATGTATAGTGTTTGACCCGTTACTGTGGATTAGCTGGTCAAACATAATTAAGCGGATTTAACATGTTAATGTTTATTTTGAGAAGAAAGTTACTAGAATCAGTATAAATTTAGTGTTACTAGATAGCTCTACACCAATCAAAACAATTTAATACATTTTGCTACCTTATGTTAAATCCTCTTTGTGCCTGAGTATACATGGATAATTTTAATCACACGGTTTAAAGCATTTTAAGAAATTGTTTAGAGAGGGACCATGTCTTACTTAATCTGTTTGGTGGTGCAGGAGATGCAATATTTGATGCGTCACAGTATTCATTCTTCGATAACAATGTGGTCGAGGAAGTTGAGCTAGGGGGATTAGAAGATGAAGAGGGTGATCTTCTTCCGGTTGAGCTTGAGGATGAAGAGTTTCTGTTGGACAGAGAAGAGGTTCATTTTAAGTTTTTAAAATTTCTTCGTTTTTCTTTTTTGGATGATAATGCATTTTGTTGTTTCCTAATTCCACTAGTTAAAAATCACAAAAGTTCTGATATAAAATAACTACTCAAGTAATTTCAATGGCGTTTACAAAGGCTTTCTAAACCAGAAAGCACAACTGAATAACTGAGGACACTAAATTCGCGATTTTGAATAATTACGCACCTTTATGCACTGCTTATGTGCATGTTAAAGGGAGGTGGTCCTTGACAATCACAGGTGTTATTGATTATGTCCTTTGATGGTAAATATTTGAATGCTTAGGTTGTTTGAGCTTATGTCAGTTCTACATTTTGCAGGGTGAAGCATTGGATTCTTTTTCTGAAATTGATGATCTAGCTAGCACATTTTCAAAGGTTAGTCTTCTTATGTACTTAAAATCGTTGCCATAGTTTCATAAAGTAAAATTAGATTTGAATGTTAGGTCTGATCCTCAGATATTGTCTTTCCAATTTTTCGTTGACAATGCTTTCCTTATAATCGCTCCCTTCCCACCTCTCTTTGAATTGGTAGGGGGAGTTGACAGGGTAAAGATATTGGTCAATGCATTTAAATTTTATTCGCTCCCTTTCCAATAGTTTTTATTCCTTCTATTTCATACTATAGAATTTTTTTTCTTTTTATATATTTTGTTTTGCGAGATGATATTGATGTGGTAATTTATTGGTGGCACTCTGAATTTCATATCCACCATGGTGCAAATATTCTGATAATATTACCTTATTATTGGCCCTTTTTACCATTTTTAGATGAATTTGCTCATGAAATGGTAAATTAATTTTTTAATCACCTATTGAATAGAAGGAATGTTATCTTATGCAATTTTTAATATCTTTTAATGTTTCTAATATACAGTTGAACAGAGGCGTCAGTGGGCCTATTGGAGATCAGAGATCCAGAGAAAGTGAGTGTAGTAATATCAGATTATGCATGCCACTTGAGATTATATATATCCATTAGGGCAGCCTTTCATGACTGCATTTGTCAATGTTTCATTGAACTTCATCCTTCTCACCATGGATTTCTATTGTTCAATTATGTTGTCGGTCACTGTAATATTGACAATTGTAATACAGTTGAACTCGAACAAAGCTGTAATTGTGAATGCTTTGATAAATTGTAGTAGTTTTTGTAAACCCTATTTGTTTGAGATAATTATTTTTCTTAGTGTATTTTAACGTCTCTGTTATTCAGAAGCTGTTGCTATGTGCATCGATACCCATGGTTTGGAAAATTACTCTTGCACACCCATTTTTTTTTTTTTAGACTTAGGCATCTACTCCCGTATCAGTAGGCTACTAATGTTTTATGTCTGTTTGTCTTGTCTTTTCTGGGCATTTATTACATGCCTTAGCATTTTGAGCTTTTTTTTTCCTACCTAAAAATGGAAGGAAAAGGGAAAGGAGAAGTTACTATTGCAAGTGGAGTATGATGAGACAAAATTGGGAAGAAACTAATAGTAACAAAGAGGATGATTGGGGAATCAAATAATTAAAAGATTCTCTTGAAAATTCTATTAGTAGTGATGTAGGTGACTTCTGAGTTGTTCTATTTCTAGTAGTAAATTACAATTTGGTCACGTTATTTAAGAATTTATTATTTACTACTATATTAATATATTTTATGTTTATTTGCAGGTTGGGATTTTAAATTTGTTTATTATTGTGATTTTTTAAAATGGCTCGTGATTTATTATGATCACATTTTTTTTGTAATTTTATATCTTTTCATTATTTTATTGGTTTGGTCTCAGGCTTAGACCTCAAAGTTTCTTGAGGCTTATGCCTCAGCTCATAGAGGTAAAACGCCTTGATGTTCGATTATGCCTTTTTAAACATTTTGCATGATCACCTCTGGGGACTTAATATAAAATTAAAGCTCGGACTTAATATAAAATTAAAGCTCGGACTTGATGATTCGCCTGGATAGTTGCCAAGTTAGAAATTTAAGTTGGTAAAAGAAATGATATAACCAAGTATAGCTCTTCTTGTTTTATATTGCTTAGGGTCACTTGTCTATTCAGCCATATGAGCCAATATTGTCTAGATTTGCTTTAAAGGTTAACTTTATTAAGCTCCAATGACATCTTTCGTTTATATAATTCCACATGTGCACACTAACATGCAAGAACAATCACATGCACATATTCATGCATCACGTATTAATGCATTCATAGGTTTATATGCGCATGAAGTTCCTCATCAGAATTCTTCAGAAAATGATATAGTTTCCAATTTTTTAATGTAAATATTCTATGAAAAAGAAATAGAATTATTTTTTCATTGTATGGTTTCAAAATAATTTCTCGTGGGATAGATTTGATTTCTTGTCATCCCCATGAGCCCACACTACTGGTTTTTCTGCTGGTTCAACCTTGCCAGATGTAGCAATGGTGGGATGTTATTTTTTCTTAATTGTTGTGTAATCCATCTTATATATGCTGAGGATTACCGGTCCTCTATTATTTTAATCTCTTCTGTCTGTTTATGAAATTATTCTCTTATAAGCTATAATTAATTGGCTGGAATTGTATTGATGATGGAGTCGAGTAATAATCTGATTCAAATCTCAAATATTGTTTAGGAAGCTCTAGTTGGATCAAATTATAATTTGGCTTGAGCTTGATCTTACGTAGCTTTAATTTGCTCAACTCATTTGTAGCCCTGGAAAACTACAGCTATACTCTTATGGATATATGCTGCAGAATAGATGTGCAAATAATCCCATCCCAAAATGAGTGTTTTACCTTGCATTTGGTGTTTTGCAAAGTAATGTCACCGTTTGAAGTCAAGATTGTTTTCTTAACTTGTTTTACAGTCCTAGCCTCCTAAGGGAATGGTTTATCTCAATTTTAAGCTGTGGCTCGGTATAATTCCGTTAGTTTTTAAGTGCTTTGAGCAATGCTTTTCACTCAGTAAAAGTTTTTGCATTTTATGAGTAAAATTAAGTATCGGCAAGAGAGTGGCAGATATCATATCTCTGAATCTTTAATATTAAATCTAGATAACATATGGTCTTATAAGTAAATTGGGGTATCTAAAATTCATTAACTTCATCAATATTGCAGAGACTTATGTAGGAACAGGATATGGAGAACTGTATATGATATTTGAGCTACTTGCTAATGAATTAAGGATTGCATGTAGTAAATTCTGATTATAATTTTGTACGTGTGGCCTACCGTCTTTGTGATTTAATCTTCCTTAATGAATATTAGATAAGCATCATAGATTGGCCTCTAATTATGCATGTTGACTAAATGAGTTTTGAAACTATGACAGCTTTTGACATATTTTATTATCAATGCCTCCTTTATTACCTTGTGTTGAATTAAACATTTCTTAGCCTGTCCAAGTATTATTGAAGTCCTAATCAATCCAAAATAGAACCAAAAATGAGTTCGCTTATGATGTAACAGCATGCTTAACACATGCAAGTTGGACGGGAAGTGGTGTTTCTAGTGGAGCATTAATATGCTTGTTTAAATGTTTATGGAGTTCCATGTCTCATTCTTGAAATTCCACGAGCCTGTAGCTTATTTGAACATGCAAGACTCTCATGAAGTCACTCTATGGTAGTTTTGATTTTTTAATGTCAATTTTGAAAAGAAGTAAATTTTACGAAATAATCATTCTGAAAAATCAATTCTTTGACCAATAAATGCCAACAGCAAATCTGTGACATAATGGGTTGGCTTTTTGATGTTGTATTAATTGTTGATCAAATATTTCCATTTTTGCTCACATTACATTGTGTTCCAGGTTCATCTGCTGCTGAGTGGGCTCAAGAGGCAGACTTTCCTAAGTGGTTTGATCAGCGAGCCGTCGATGCTGAAAGCGCTCAGGACAGTAAAGGATGGTCATCACAGCTATATTCCTCTGCACAGTTAATGGAATCCAAGTCTTTATACAGAGCATCTTCATACCCTGAACCGCCTCAGCAACTCCCTCATCAAAACCAGGGGCAAAACTTACATCAGCAATACTCCAGCGAACCAATTCTTATTCCAAAATCACCATTCACTTCATATCCTCCCGCTGGAGGAAGATCCCAGCAAGCTTCACCAAACAGCCCGTCTATCCACCATAACATTCCATATGCCTCTGGTGGATATCAAATACCAATTTCTTCGCCCAATCTTTCTCCTTTTGATAACGCGCAGGTTCAGTTGAATGCCTTACCTAACGGGTCCCAATTTGGTGCAAATTTACCTCAATCAACCTATGGACTTCTGGTTAATAATCGGCTTCACAACCAACGACTGAACCAAAGTAGTTTACATCCTGGAGATCTTTCTAACTTGCCAAGCAAAATGTTGCAACAACAGTTACCCCATCAGAATGGGTTAATGCCTCCACAACAGCCTTTGCAGCAAAACAGAATGCAGCACCCATTTCAGCCATCCTATGGCAATTTATCAGGGTTGCAGTCTCAACATTTTAATACCCTCCTTCCTCCATCACCACCCGTGATGAACAACTTCAACATGCTTGGATTGGCTGAATTTAGAGATCAGAGAACTATGTCAACACTGAGAAATAGGCAAGGCTTTCATTATCCTCAGCATGATTCTAATTTTGGCAGCCAGAGGAGAGATAATGGGTGGCCAAAGTTCAAATCCAAGTACATGACAACAGATGAAATTGAAAACATTCTCAGAATACAGCTTGTTGCTACTCACAGTAATGATCCTTATGTTGATGACTACTTCCATCAAGCTTGTCTGGCAAAGAAATCTGCTGGTGCGAAGTTGAAACATCATTTCTGCCCTACAATTTTGAAGGATAGTTCTTCCAGAGCTCGTGCTAACGATGAGCCACACGCTTTTCTCCAGGTTGATGCTCTTGGGAGGGTGTCTTTCTCTTCAATACGCAGGCCTCGCCCACTTCTTGAAGTTGACTCCCCAAATTCATCTGGCAGTGCCAGTGCTGAACAGCAAGCGGTTGAGAAGCCTTTGGATCAGGAGCCAATGCTTGCGGCTAGAGTGACTATAGAGGATGGCATTTGCCTCCTCCTTGATGTTGACGATATTGACCGATTCCTACAGTTTAATCAGATACAAGATGGCGGGGCCCAGTTGAGACAGCGGAGACAGGTTATGCTCGAAGGTTTAGCATCGTCTCTTCAGCTTGTAGACCCTCTTGGCAAAAATGGTCACACGGTGGATTTGGCTCCTAAAGATGATCTGGTGTTCTTAAGGTTAGTTTCCCTTCCTAAGGGCCGGAAACTCCTATTGCGGTACCTTCAACTTCTTTCTCCTGGTGGTGAACTTACTCGAGTAGTCTGCATGACCATCTTCCGTCATTTGAGGTTATTGTTTGGTGGACTTCCTTCCGATCCTGGCGCCTCCGAAACAACAGTAGAACTTGCTAGGACCGTGTCATCTTGTCTTCAATATATGGAGCTTAAAGCTCTGGCTGCATGCCTTGCATCAGTGGTTTGTTCAGCAGAGCATCCTCCTCTACGTCCAGTTGGAAGCTCAGCTGGAGATGGAGCTGCTGTTGTACTTAAATCTGTCCTCGAGAGAGCAACTCAGCTGCTGACCGATCCCAATGCTTCTGGTAGCTGCAGTATGACAAACAGGGCATTTTGGCAGGCCTCTTTTGATGCATTCTTTGGCCTTCTGACAAAGTACTGCTTTAATAAATATGACTTTGTTATGCAATCTTTCCTAATGCAGGCCTCGCCAGCTGTTATTGGGTCTGATGCAGCCAGAGCGATCAGTAAAGAAATGCCCATTGAACTCTTACGTGCAAGTCTTCCCCACACAAGTGAGCAGCAGAGGAAACTACTCTTGGAATTTGCACAGCGGTCCATGCCTGTGCTGGGTCTTAGTAGTCAGGGTGGAGAAAGTGGTGGCTCGTGATTGTGTTCTGGTGTCATTGCGAAGGATCCACAATAGATTTGCTGCCAAATTATGTTGTGCGACTTTGGTGACTGTTTTTGAGTGTCAGTATTCTTAGCATGCTAATACTGATGCTTTACTGGAAGAAGTTTGTCAGCGGGTGAATGGAGCCTGATTACATGAAAGATACCGGTTTTTGCTATAAAAGTAAATGTAATCCTCTTAAGACACATTGACTGTCTGTTTTTTTACAGTGTAATCGTGTGTTCACTTTCTTTGATGGGAGCTTATTTTGATGCTCTGTTGTGCAATACTAGTAGGAGACTAGATAAAGGTAGAAACGTACAGTTACAGAAAGATGTTGCTAATGTTTTTAGGCTTTTGTATTTCGAGGTGGTGGGTAGAAGTTTGTTGAAATGCATCGGATGGTTGTCAGTTTTTTTTTCTTCTTTCTTTCGTCTGTTCTATCTTCTTCAACGAGGGAGGTAGTTGAACAGTGGAAGTGGTAGAAGTTTTGTTTCTGTTGACAGTTGATCTATTGTGATTCTTGTTTTAAGTTTGTCTCTACCAAATTGTATTTGCCAGACAAGTTCTTCATGGGCCGAGGTTGCTGGCTGCGTATTCCAGCTATGCAAACAGAGTGGGATTCTTTCACCTTGTTTCATTGTGAAGTATGAGAAACCGTCAGTTGTTACGACTTGCTTTTAAGGCGACATGGAGCGAGTATGCTTCCTTTAGTAACTTATAATTGAAAATTCGAGTATAATTATTTTCTAATCAAAATTTTCCTTCTTGCAAAAATGGAATTTGCATGGAAACAAAATAAATTTTAGGTAATTGAATTGTTCAAAACTTATTGGCATGAAAATTGTCGACTAAATGTGTTTAATTAACATAATTTTCAACCTAAAAGATGTACTTTTTTTTTCATAAAATTGAGTTTTGAGAAGTGTGAATTGCTTAGAAAATAAAATCTACCCTTCCATAAAGAAAATATTTTTCATAGAAAAAAGCCAATCGAACACTCCAAAAATACGAACTTCAGTGAAAAATAACAATTTTTATTGAAATAAAGTCAACCAAACACACCTGGTAAACTAAGAATCACTATAATCACAAGTGGTATGGTTATTTTCTAATCACACACTTTTTATACAAGTGGTGGCCTATGGACATCATAATTCCAGAACCAAAGGTTCCAATTCTTGAGCGCAAGCGGCGTGCCCATTTCTAAAATTCACCAACCTTTAAAATCAGTTTTGCATTTCCATCTTTCACAGTCAGCAAACGCCCTTCTATAGATATCTAAGTGCATTGAGCTCCAGTGTTGTGTTCTATGTATTTGGTCGTGTAGCTTCAGCCAATTTCCCAGCCCGGAGAGAATGTCAGAAAAAACTATTCACGATCTCCAAGCTTTGAGAAAAAAGAGTCGAATCAACTAGACAGATGACTTCCCTCCTGAGAAAGTCGAACTGAGGCATGGCGAACCATTTCAATGAGATTGTCATCCATGGCATCAAGCTCACCCGAATTGCGAAGACTATGGTATAAAGGGGCCATATAGTTTGCTGCAACTTCAGCCAACTTCCACTGGGTAAAAATAGCTGCAGTCTGGATTATTTTCACAGACAAGTATCTAGAAGAATCCAAGCAAGATACAGAAACCCTATAACATTCTTCATGAAGGTCCTTAATGAGCCAAAATTCAGCAAGCCAACAGAGCTCAATGTATACTTGCACTTCGTGTATTTTTTCGTCTGCATCCAAATTATCCCATAGACAGCCAAAACTGGGTTCAGACAACTGATCGGAATAGAACCAGTTCACAAGTTTAACGAGTGACTCCCAACTTACGGGGACCTTGATTGTTTGTAAATGGCTGAAACAAGAAATTCAGCATTTCAGCTGGAATGAAAAGAAAGGCTAAAGTTCCACAACCTAGAAACTAGATTTTATTTCAAATAAATAGTCAAACCATAGTTGAGTCCACTGTAAGCCAAAAAGATGGGAGAACAAATGAACACAGACAAGAAGTACAAATGTACAATTACAATTACCATCGCTAGTAATTGGAAATAAAGGGTGACATACTGTATAGGTACTGAAAATGAATGACCACATGTGCTCATAGCAGCATTGCGGCAAGAGTTAAGGCTCTAGAGCTCACAAACTGATATGGATACAAATTGTGGAAAATATAAAAACCGATATGGACACGAATTGTGGTATGAATTGTAAAATAACTAACCAACTTTTAACACGAGCACCTTCATGGTCAGGCAAAGAGGTGCAGATTATGAATAAATCTAAGTGTACAACATTGGTTGACAACCATGTGTTGTCAAAATACTAGTATGTGATGTAGAAAACAAATTTTTAAAATGGATGGATATGATGATGCCAAATAAAAGTGTACAACATTGATTGACAACCATGTGTTGTCAAAATCCTAGCATGTGATGTAGAAAACAAGTTTTTAAAATGGATGGATATGATGATGCCAAATAGGATGTTGTCTACCATTATTGTACATGTAGCATGATTCGCAGATTATATATCCAAGATATTACCAGAACATATCCCCTAACATATTGCAACCCATATGTATTTACCTTTCTTGCATTCCTGACCGAAACAAGGCCTGAAGATAATCGCAACTTGATTCCAATATAACTTTGTGAACATGTAGGTGAGGAACTGATGCTGAGCAACTGTTGCACATCCAACTTTCTAGTTGTCTTGTATTAGATTCCAAAAGAATGTCCCTGAAACCAGAAAAGATGGGGAAAAAATGAAATCTAGACCAAAACGACCAACATAAAAGATCAACCATGCTCACTCTTCACCTATATATTCACCCCTCTAAAGCGTGAACAAATGCAGATATCTATGTAAATCAACACTTCTCATCTACAAGTGAATAATTGAAGGCTACTATTTCCAACAGTGGGGTGTTGAAAGCCTTATAACCCCCAGCCAAATAGATTGGCGCATTAGCAGTGAACCATAATAATAAACAACAAAGCAATTTGATTAACTATAAAATTGATATGTAATACTTTTTTCTCTGGCAAGATCAAATGATGCTGCTCAGCAAGACTGTCAGTTTTGGACAGCTATGGAATTAGATAACAAGTCTAGTACGATCTTCAAAGCATAGCTCATTATGGAACTCTCCCCAAATACCCAAGTGAGATCAAAGAGAAGAGTAAATATTAACCCCAAGGAATGCCTAAACTGTCGGGAAATAAGTTCATACGAAAAATGATGTTCGCCTGGCCTGAGTGCTGGAGTAAGATCAAAGCTAGGCATAGGAGTGCCCCATTTTGGATGTCTTCTAGAAAGAATTTGCAACAGGTGATGTAATCCACAATGCTTAGCAAAAATCTTCAACTTTTTCATAAGGTCTTCACTGGCTTGTATATATCCAAAATAAACATATTCTAACAACTTCGACAATGACTGGTGATCCACATGAGAAGAAAGATGAATTGCTGTTATCACCCTGTCCTCTGCATCCTGCTTTACAGAAGATCCACTTGATGCTCTCTCTTTAACAAGCAATTCTCCAGGAGGAAGTAGTGATGGACATCTAACCGTAAGAACAACTCCATGAACATATATAGATTCCCCATTTACAAGATTGAGCTCCAAATCAGTATATTCATTATCAGAAAGTGCTTTCCCAATTCTGTCTCCCATTTTACTTGGGAAACCATAGTGTCCAAAAACGCAAAGAATATAAACAGCATACCATCTTGGTCCAGGGGTACTACTGTGTCTGCAGATCTTCTGGAGTTCACTAACTAATTGAGCTTCATTAAAGTTCGTCTGATTGTCAAGCAGATGAATTTTTATAGGATCCGAATGATGTAGCAACTCAGCTAGGCTCCACAGACTAAAAAGCAAAAGCATGTCCTCCCCTTCCCAGTCGTCTGTAGCTGAGTAGCAGCAACTCCTCTCAGTGAAAGAATTATGCAAATGCAATGCCACATTTGATCTTTTTATACGAACAGGATTGCTAAACCACCACCTTATGAAGTTCAACAGAGTTTTGATCCCTCGATGTTTAATTATGAGTTTCCGGTATTTTGGAAGACTGGAATAACATGCCAAACTCATCAAGCATACGACAATTTGAACGTTACCTGGAATTCCAAAATTGTTTCCTGAAGATCTGGCAATTAGAGTCTCTAGCAAATATTCAGTGTAATCCTTGCCATTTGACTTTAGTATTTCCAACAGTAGGGACCTAGCTACGGATGCAATATACTTGCAGGGAGAGAAAACCATCATAAGGACTGCTCTAGATGCTGATTCACTCACAGCTGTATTTGTTGGACTACTTTGAGAAATTTGGCGTATCATATGAATTGAGTCCACAAAGGCTAAGCTGACACGAAAACCAAGCACAATAAGATGAATTTAAAGTTATGGATACATGGAGAACGATAGAAGTAGTAATATTAACTGCTGCACATAAGAGAAAAGAATTGAAGCAAAAAAAAAAGTAGAATATTACCACGCACACATGATAAGGATCTTGAGATGAAGTTCACTTCCATGCGCCTTAGAGTTGAAATCGTCAGCACAGTTAGTTGCAATCCATCCAAGAATATCCCAGACATATGGTCTAAGAGAGAGACGGAAATTTGTGTTGAGAGTCTTGAGACCATCACGAACCACAACTATCTGTTCCTTCACAGATAGCTCTTGCTTTAATAGGTCGATCCTCTCATAACTTCCTAGAAGAAGATCAAGAAGGACTCTATCAACTCCAGCTTTCCAAAAATATACATGATGGTCCCCTGCCCAACGAGTGATTAAAGCCAAACGGCATGCCTCCTCCACAATAGACAGATCGTTTTTCGCAAGCTTTTCAGAATGCGAATTCCAATCTCTCATTCCACTAATTATAGCTTTCACAAGGGGCTCACCACATCTTTTTATCATTTTTAAACACTCTCTTTTGTTTATCTGAGAAAATATTGATGGAGACTCATTCAGACAGGTAGTATAAC